TACCTATTTCAAATTTGCACTAATTTTGTGACTCATATAATGAGTGCTTCACCCCCGATTTTTTGTCCTTATTATATGCTAATCATATTTAATTTAATTTTTTAATTTTTAACTATAAACGGTATAAAGTGACTCTCTCTCTCTCTCTCTTTTTTTTTTTTTTTTTTTTTTTGAAATGATTGAGAATTTCTCTTCCCATGTGCTTTCATTACTTCACTTTAATTCTCGTGATTTTTTACCAAATGAGGCAAACCTTTGGGGACAAAGGGAGTAATACATTACTACGGAGTATGAAGTTTATATTGAGATAAATCTAAGACATTTTTCACATAACAATATAACATGTGTTAGCTTTATAGATACCGTTCCTAAAAAAAATGAAGTATTGTTTAAAACTCGAAGTTTATACATGAATAACGAGATTTAAAAGTCAACTTTTTGTGAATTAATGGGGTTGTTTTTTCTCGAAACGGAGCTTATAGATGTATGGAGCATCATGAATTTAATTCATGCAAAGACCTTTTGGGAGTGATACTATAGGCCAAAACACAAGCTAAGCCAACGTTCGCATACACTCTTATAAGGCTTTCATTTTAGAATCAGATAGTAATAGGTTTAGTAACTCACTAGGCTTATAAACAACATAAATGGAAATTTAAAATGTTGATATTCTGGAAAATTTATGGTCATAATCATCCTAATGTAGTGACCAACAATTTTCATTATAAACAATATAAATGGAAATTGAAATCTGTATGGCCCATTTGGTAGATCATAATATTAATTGTAATAGTAATAAGTCATACATTTGTAGAAGGAAAGTCTCATGTCAATGTCCATGATAATGAAATTCCAAACATATCAACACAAAGATAGTAACACGACCCAACAATTAATGATCGGCTATTATAATATGGTAACAAAAATGTACTTATTGTCTATAAATAGGGTGAGTTCTTTTTAGTTCACGCAAAATTAATTCGGTTGACTAACAATTTATCGTCTACTTGCCTACTGCCTATCAATTCAAGCCAATAATTATGCAATCCCTAATTTAAGTAATTTCTATATATGGGGTGGATAAGGTTCAACATGCTAAGCGAAACCTAACAAAAGAAGAGAAAGGAGAGCGAGTGATTGATGCAAACGTTTCCAAGTGTCTAAACTGGTTGACTAACTAACTCTTCCGTCTTCCCCTTTGGTTATGTAGTAAGCACCAATACTTTTGCTCACAAAATATCTGTGTATTAGCCAATTTAGCTAGCTAACATCATTAGAAACTACTTTAATCAAATTAAATTATTCAGATTTCATTTGTATTACTTAATATGTAGAGTTAGTAGTCTTGTTGGCTGTCAATCTTTACTGTAAGTAGACTAATCGGACTTAAAACCTCTTATAGGTAACGCCCAGAGTTAGCCTAACATTTTGAGAGTCCGAGTTGGCAGATTAAAACCCTTTTAAGAGCGGAAGAAGGATAACTAGATTTCCATACTCAAAGTGTGGCTTAAACCACCAATTTGAAAGACGTACGTACCTTCTTTGTTAAAGTGACGACTAAATTTAAACACCGCCAATAAATCATCCAAGTGATGAATTAAAAAAAAAAAAAAAAAAAAAAAAAAAGCTCAAAATCGAAAAGACAATATAACAAAAGATTAAAGAGTGATTGGATAGGTAGTAGCAAACTCTCAAAATTTTGCAAGTGGAGAAATATGTACAAGACCCTAAAATCCTAAATCTACAAAACTTACAAAACCGTTGAATAAAAAACAGAGTTCGATTTGAGGAATGAGGATCATATCAAAGATGAGATCTAATCAATCAAACGGTGAAGATTCATCGACGAACTGAAGGTGAACCATAACTTGACCTCTTTTTGGGGTCGGACGACCAGGGGAACTACTACTGTATGACCCACTTCCTCCGTTTATCATGCTCCTTCTTACTCCTCCTGCCATTTGATTTAATTTACTTTGCTCAAATTTCTCAAATAAAGAGTTGTGATTTTGAGAGAATAGAAGAAGAAGAAATGGTGAATTGTTTGTGGAAGTGTCAAGTGTTTGATGGTTTTTCTTGGTTTGCTACTGTGGTCCTTTTATAGTGCTGTCATTCCCAAAACTACCCCTATTGTTTGCAAAGTTTTACACTACGCATTTTGATGGCAGTATAATATCTTTATATCTGTTTTGTTGTTACAATGACACATGTGACAAAGTAATGCTAGGAGCAAAACACACACAAATTTAAGTGGTTTACTAACATTGTAATGTTTACATCGACAAACGATCGACGATAGGGTTTTTATTGATCTTGTGGGTATTAAAGATTACAGAATGAGTAGATTGGTAACATGATACAACAAGAAAACGGTTAAATTCCGACATCGTGAAACCGTCGATGAAAATAGAAAAAGAACGTCGGTTTATGAATCGTCGGTTTTTTTTTTACTATTCTAACGGTCTAACTGTCAATGGCTAATTTTTTACCACTTTTTTGATAGCCACAAGCCATTGGAAATCACGACAGCCACCACCTAATAAGCAACAAACCGCTCACCGACAGCTTTGATCGTTGCAAAATTCCAACGACCATAAATATTGCCGAATTTATCCATAGTTTCGACGGCTTTACACTGTTGAAAAATTTCGACAGCCATAGAAACGTATACAGTAGCACGCTAGCACTCATAAATTATACACAAAATTAAAATCCAAATAAATCCAAAATTGAAAATTATAACACACATAACATATGTTGTAATTTTTGAGGGCGTGTATCACCCTTGACATTGACTTGCTGATTTGACTAGTTAGCGAGACCTCATTTTGAAATGTTTGCAAGGGTAGTTAACAAATTCATAACATAATCTAATGTTTTCTACGTAGTATATATTACAAAAAAAAAACGATTATTATCTATAAACTTCTATTAGGGTTACATTTAAACATACATTTAATATACTTGTATCATTAAATAGCATCAGATTGAAAGTTTGTGAACAAATTACGCTTTGCTAAGTGTTATAATGCTTAATATTTGTTAATTTTTTTTAATCTTCTTATAAACAATATTAAGAGTCTCATTTATCATCATCCTTAAGAATTTATATATGAAAACTTTTCTGTGGATATCTTGTTCGTCTTGTGCTCAAACTTTACGAGACTTACGCTAGGTGAAATTATTCTATTTTGATTTGAGTTTGATAATGTAATACTTTTGGAATTAATTTAGCTTAGCTGATTAAGAGTAAATCCTACTAATTAGGTTGGTGTCCTATTTAGGAAACTATAAAGTGATTTTATTTCGGTTGGCTCAAGCCAAATTTGAATGAAATCATACCACATGAAATTTGGTTAAATTTGAGAACGGTCTGATAGGGAGTGCTTTAAAATATCTCTTCTGCACAGATACTTTTAACAGAAAATAAAAATCAACATATGGTGGTTGTACGTACCAATCAAAGCACTAAATCAGGCATTCTGAAAAGATATTTTGTCAAGCAATAATATAATTAAACTAACATTATTAAATACTGTTTCTTTTTATTTTTAAAAAGAGCTACATTTAGATTTGTACATTTGATATTATGACAATTCCAACAACATATTATATGATCATATTTATATATTATATATTGAAAAAAAAAATTAAGTCAATGATGACATATGAATAGTGGAAAATCCCACCTCTAGCTTATAAAAAAATAAACGGAGGGAGTATGATTACTCTATACATTTATACTTAAAGGATGGTGATTAAATTACAGGTAAACGTAATCAATTTTGTTCGTATGAATTGGAGTAAGAAATTCTATTAGCTACTTATAAATAACAAAAATCATACACTAATTAATGATATATTCCTTATCTTTTCTCAAGATAGTAAGTAAGCTAATCTTAAGTTTAGATTAAAACCTTATGGTCTTTGTAAATTGTTGTTTAAAGTTATGGACAAATGATATTAGCATTTGATATGTTAAAATTATAATTCATAATATTTGAATTAAGACATATTAATCCTTTTAAATTGTCATTTAGAGTTATGGCAAATTATTTTGGACTTTTGGTATTCAAGCGCTCATAATTAAACCTAATTCATAACTAAAAGATTGTATTATTAGTTAGTTAAGCACTTAAAACTATAAGAGTGTTGTGAAAGTATAACAATTCAATTATTATACTTATATATTGTAATTAGGAAGCCATTAACAAAAACTTAACTAGCTAAATAATTTAATTGACCAATAATAATTAAGATAAAGCTAGAACAGTGTTTCATAAAGATGTCTTGTCCCCCTTTACCAAACATAATCAAATAATGAGAGCAAGTTGCAATTGAATTCACGTGGTATTATAAGGTTCACGGGTTGAATTATTCAAATATCTAAAATAATAAATAGTGGAAAATATCAGCTTATTATTATTATTATTATTATTATTATTATTATTATTATTATTATTATTATTAAAAATTTTTTATTTTTTTTCTTATGTATTTATTGTTTAAATTATACATTGTCCCTTAGCTTGCTTTGTGGAAGTGAAATTTTCTGGTTGTTTTGGAGTGTAGAGTATTTAATTTATGTATCGTACATATTATGTCTGTGAATGTCATTTAAAGTGAAAATTTATTAGATATTGCTTGTTCAGAATTTAGATGCATGCATGAAGTGATGAAGGTAGGACATATCTGGAGAAATTGACTGCTACAAAAAACATTAGGTACAACCTTTTAAGCTATTTTTTCCTTGGTGAAGATAATTGAAAATGACTTTAAGACGGCATATTATTTCCGAAAAAAGATACGAAGTATTTATCAAATTATCATACGAGACAAATTATAATAATTTATCGTGGAATTGGAATTGAAAAAATGTTTTTGTTTCAAATTAGTCTTTAGCCTGCGTAATGTACGGGTTAACTTTGTATCAAAATTTTGAAATTTCAAGGTAATAAATGTAGAAGCAATTGTTTGCGTTTATTTTTGCATGGGTAATATTGGTGATCATTTTGATCATAATATTTATGCATTACTAATGATAGATATACAATGACAAATTGGCAGAGTTAAATAAATATTCCCTATTTGGCTATTTCCATTCATACAATAAAATAGTACTTGGCTAGAGTATTTAGATTTTATTTTTTATTTTTTATTTTTTTATTTATTTAATTTTTTTTTTTGGAAGAGTATTTAGATTTAGTGCAGACAACTTAAATAATAGAGTATGACTGATAATATCTAGGAAGACAAATTAATATTACAACTCTAAATTGAAGTAATAGAAGGCTAATGTAATTCATATTGGTTAACAGATTTGTGTGCTATAATGTCAATTGGAGTTGTTGCATGCCTTTCCCTTGATTCTGCAAACAATTTTGATATTACAATTAGTATCTAAAATTTATGAAATAAGGAGTATTATATACATTTAAATGGAAAATAATCAATACCCATTTCATCAAACTAAAAAGATTAGCAGATATATTAAATTATAGCATGGCAAAAGAGAGAAACAGAGATACCCAAAAAAGGTATAGAAGTAATTAAAAAGAATAACCTTGTTGTGTTGAAAATTCAAAATCTTAAATTTCATAAACTCAAAATGCAGATTAAATTATAAAAAAATATATATATATATATATATTCAGAAATTTAATGACCTTTAAGTTCTTAAAATACAGTCAAAAGAACCATATATTGATCTATAACTAATACTAAAGTAATTACCGCTGACATCACTACTGTATATGTGTTGCCTTCTTATAAAAAAAATTTCCCTCCTAAACTATTTGTAACATCATTCTCTCTATTTTTTCTTTCTTTTTTATTTCTTATTCAAGATAAATTTATTGTTTGAAAATTATTGATTAATTATACATTTTTCTAAAAGCTTTTATGACTAAAATGACTAAGTTCACAATTTATTAGTGATAGTAGAATTTGGATTATTTTTCCCTCTTTATTATTTCTTCAAATTTTCTATAATGATAAAAAACGAATGCTAGCATTTTAAAAAATTTATTATAACTATGAAGTTACTTAGAATATCTTTTAGCTTAATTAATCTAACTAAAGGGACCGATCACGATTTTATTATGTTTTGCTTAAAATATTTATATTACACACATACAAGTTTTAAATTATTAAAACCGCACATCGCACAGGATTAACCTAGTTAATTAATAAATTGACCTCCCGTCAAAAAAAAAAAAAAAAAATTGACCTTTACCACTTTGAATGTGAAATCGACATATAAATCAAGATTAGTGAATCGTTCCCAAAAATGGCAAACAAACATATCTGTATTTTCAGGCAAAATAAAAAAAAGGGCGAAACCCATATTGATTGCTGTAAATGGCCAAATTTATATAAATTGCTGTAAAATTTAAGAATACTCTTAAATCTAACTACGGGAAAGAAAAATTGATTTGGTGAAAGAGAAGGAAAATTTACCCTAAAATCCTATCACATATAAGTAAGAATCTAACCCAATTTAATACTTGTACTTTCAACACTTCAAAATCAAGGTGGCTGGCAAGAATGTGAAGTGATGATTTTGTCACAAAGAATATAAGTGAAATCAAACTGCAACCCTAATTCAGATCTGAAACCAAAAATTGAAACTGGTAAAAATGCAAATCTTATTGTGACAAATTTACTTTAACAGATCATGATAACCCAATTTTTTAAAGCAAAAACCCAATATTTGGTCGCTGGTGATTCAACACCTCCCCACAATCTATGCAAGATAATTGTTCCCAAAATAAATAAATAAAAAACCACTACTTCAAATAAGAAAATATAGTAAAATTCCCAAAAACATTACAAAAACATAAAAATTAAAAAAAAAAAAAAAAAAAAAAGAAAAAAGAAAAAAGAAAAAGAAAGAGAGAATTTATAAACCTTATATGCAGAGCAAATGCGAAAATGATTATGGAAGGCTTTTAGAGATATAGGAGATGGAATGATGAACTGAGTACTCCGTATTTAAGAAACAAATGAAGAACAATAGAGGAAAAGAAATACTTGTAACCCCTGAAAGGGAAAAAAAATAATTGTAACGCTTCACTTAGATTATATATTTATTTATTTATTTTTTAAAGACGCTACACTGAAATTGAAAGGCCAAAATTTTAAAAATAAAATAAAAGAAAAGGACATGTGGCATGTTAGAGTTCCTATTGATGCACGGATTATATTTATTTGTAATTTTTTTTAATGGGAGGATTGACCAAATTGTGTATGTCGGACCTTTAAAAGTGAAAATAGGGGGAAATTTTTTAATAACGAACATATATATGAAATATAATTCCTTAAATTCGAATTTTCCTAGCAAAAAATTGGATTGCAACTCTTGAACAACATTGAAAGCCATGCCTACTACCATTCGTATTTTTCAAAATATCTGTCATTTAAAAACTTTTTTATGGATTAAAACTTAATTAGTGACTAAACTTTTTGACTCAGATGCAAAATGAGGAAAAACATAAATATCTACTTCGTTCAATGAAATCTACTGCTGGTAGAATGCCCAAAAATAAGTGCATTAAAAATCAATTAAAAGTATATATATACATATATAGATTGAGAGGAACGGAAAGACGCAAACTAAACAGTTTTTTAAAAAACAGTAGAATGATCACACATACAATTTAATATTGCTTTTGACACATGATTAAAATTTTGATAAATTATTCCAAAAAAAAAAAAAAAAAAAAAAAACCTCGATGGCTGCGAAGATATTTCAACAAATAATATCAATTCAAACCAAAAACTTCACAAGTTGACATAAACCTAGAATGAATAAGCAAATTGAAAATAAGTTAAAAAATATATACAAAATCATGAATTGCATTGTACTTTTTTTGCTAATTTTGTTTGTAAAAAAGAAAGTAATTAATATTAGAGTAATGAATTAGTGCTTTAGTTATTAAAAATTGGGGATGAATAAAAATGATTTGGGGTAGAAAGAAGGGAAGAGTGATTACATTCACAACTGAAATTTAATTAGGGAAGAAAGTAAAGTGCATTTTGATTTGAATGGTTAACGAAAATGGGAGTTTGATTAAAAAATATAAAATAAAAAACTAATGCAACACTTCATAAAAATAAAAACTAATGCAACCCTTGATGTATAAATTAATTGAAAACTAAGAACTGAATGAAGCGTTGTTGGTTCGTTGTTTGGGGAATAAACCGAACAAATAGAAAGATAGCATCAAAGATTTTTTTTTTTAACTTTAATTATTTTTTTTAACAAAAATTAAAAAAAAAAAAGAAGAAAAAAAATCATGAAAAATAAAAAAGGACACGTGGACACTCTAAATTTCCTTTAAATTTTCCTGTTTTGAAATAGTAGTATAGATAAGAATGGGTTGATTTATAAAGGCATGTTTTTTTTTTGTTGGTAAAAGATTGATTTTGCTATTTTTTTGTTTTAAGATACATAAAAAATCTAATAATAATCCTACAAATATATTTCATGATTAGGGCATTGGAATGGAAGAGATATTTTATTTTTTTTGTAATTAAAAAAAATATTTTAAAACAGGAAAAACAGGAAGAAAACAAGTGTCCTCCCAATTTCCTATTTTAAAATAATAGTATTGATGATATAATGACTTACATACTGGCGTATCATTATTATTGTACTATATTGTATACACCAATATATGTAAGTGAGGTTTTTTTTTTGTTGGCAACTATGTAAGTGATGTTAATTCCTTTTTTTTTTGTTTTTATAGCTCTTGAATCTTTTTTTACTTTTTTTACTTTTTTTTTTTTTTTTTGCAAATGAGGTAAACAACCATAGAAAATAAAACAAGCAAAAAGAAAAACAACCAAATAATTAATAAAGGAGGAAACAAGCGTGGGAAAGCCACACCTTGCACATCCTCACTAATAATCCTATGAAGATCCATAGGAGCACTACCTAGAATAACTAGATTATTTAATTGAGCCACTCCACGATTGACAAACCAGTCAACTGCATGATTACTTTCACGGGACTCATGAACCACCGTAACTTTCCAATCGTCTTTATTTAGCAGATTGTGGCAATAAGAGCATGCACATCGGTGAGGAGCAACCCTCCTCATAACTCTCTCTCTGTCCTCTTGTGAGCTAGCTTACCATTGCAATGAGTGACTCATTACATACTCTCACTAAGAGGTAGCAACCTCTGAAGCGTGACTGACATTTGCTGTGAGTTGCTGACTTCTTTAACAAAGGAGTCTGATTTTTTTTTGAAGTCCAATTATCACATGACACTTGTCATGAATATGACAAGTTGTATTGCTATTTGCTTGAGATGTTGTAGAATGCAACGGCTCTTTATATCTTTTACACTCAATATTGCAATTATTGCTCTAACGGTAATTTTTCAATTCATTTTAACATATTTCGAAAAATTAATTTCACCAACGGTATACTTATAATTTTATCTATAAATAGAGCCTAATATTGATATAGTTTTTCACCCTTAAAATTTCACCCTTCTATTTTTCATTATAAAAAAATTTTGTGATTATGGATCTTAATAATCCTAATTACGGAAGTGGTTCCTCTCAAAATAATCCAAATAACCAATCTTCCAATTCTCCAAATTTCCAAAGTAATTTTCATTTTGATCCAAATAACCCTACTAATCCAAATGCTCAAAGAATTTTATTTCATAACATTCCTAACCAACCAATGCATCCAAACCAACAATTTCTGCAACAATTTCCAAACCAAAATTACACACAACAATTCTCAAACCAATTTTCAAACCAAAATTTGCAACAAATTCCCCAAAATTATCCATCTGATTTTATGTTCCTGATGTCACAACATTATGGTGTGAACCAAATAATTCAAAATAGTCCAACAACTCCTGAGGGAGAAAGAAGCAGTAACTTAACCCCATCCGATGATCCAAGGGTTCCACAACAAGGTAATGATGATGTTGACGGTGTAGGTGATGATGATGTTATTGAAGCTCCCCACGGGAGCAACACTGTTGTCAGGGCAGAAAAATGGGATGCAAAAGAAGATGATGCGCTCGTTTCGGCTTGGGTAGAATGTTCAGTTGAAGATCCAGAGACGGCAACAGATCAAAGTTTGGCCGTAATGTGGAGGAACATACAATCCCTTTATGATCAAGCCAGAGAAGAAAATCCAGCCACCATGCGCCCTAGAACTTTAAGATCTATGAAAAGTCGGTGGGCAAGAATAAATAAAGATGTGAGTACATGGGTTGGTTGCTATAGTGAAGCAAAAAAAAGGTATATGAGTGGTACCAACACTCATGATAAAATGACCGAATCTCATGAAATATATAGAGGGACGTGTAATAATTCACGCTTTGGTTTAATTGGTTGTTGGGAGATGTTGAGAGAGTTAGACAAATGGAAGCCAATAGACCTGGATTTACCTTCTAGTGATGGTGGAAATTCGAAAAGATCAAAACCAGATACTCCAACTGATGAAGGTCCAAAAACTCTTACTCGTCGCCGTCGTCCCGACGGGGTGAAAGCATAAAAAAGAAAAGGTAAATCTATTGTCAATTCTGGAATTCAAATAGGGGGTAGTTCTGAAATTAAAAATTTAGAGTTGTTTACCGAAGCCCTATTAGAGATGAATGTGATGAAAGGTCAACACAAAGATGTTGATGAAAGGCGAATTGATGTAGCAGAACGTATGCTAGAGTATCAAAAGGAGCGAGATGCCATCAAAGATCGGAAGAAACAAGAAGAAAAAAGGTTCAAGCTATTTAGTGTCCTTCTTGCAAAACCAATTCTATCTGAAGAAGAAAAGGAAATATATCTAAAATTAAAGCAAGAATTTGCACATCTTCTAGGCTAGTTTAAATATCAATTAAGGTAGTCAAACTACATGTGTATTATTCTAGTTTTAATTGATGTAATGTTACTTATGTTGTTTTAACAATTTCCACTACAAGAAACAGGCTGTATAGCGACGGAATTTCCACTACGAAATATGCGTAATTTAAATGCTCTTTGTTTATTACCCAAAAAAATATTTCTTGTAAATAATAATAATAATATACAATTAGCTCCATAATGAGAAATGTTGTAAAATATGACTGACATGCAATGCTACATTGAAATGTCACATGTTGACAGAAAATCTGTAAGCAATATCAGAGAATCTCATCTTTTACTGTTATGTGTACCCATACATTGAATTGTCATACAAAAGAAATCTACAAACCTTATCAGAAATGTAATCTTTTTGAGTTGTTTATCCATTCAATGAATTACCAATGTAAAAAATCTGTAAACCTTATCAAAAATCATATCTCTTATACTTGTGTGCCCATATATCATAATAATTACTAGTTATTTGTTTTGAATAATTTTAGAAGTTATAAATAAGGGGGCTACACTTCATATTTCAATACATAAATATAAGTATTATTTCTACATAAAAAAAAAACCTCTCTCTTCCTCTCTACCAAAAAATATTACAAAATGAACTCTGATTCAAATTCTTCTAGTTCATCTAATTCAGGGTTATTTGATTACATGGTGAACAACTATGTAGAGTGGCATGAATCAATTACCCAAAGGCGAAAAGAAGATGAATTGATCGAGGAAGCGATCAATATAGCTGTTGTTCCCTTTGTAACATCACCTTACCAGGTCCCCTTCACTCTTGAACCTACGTACCAAAGGTGGTATGTACCAAGAGATCGAGAATATGCTGATATTCAGTTATATAACGATTACTTTAGTCCCCAACCATTGTACCCTGATATATGTTTCGTCGACGGTTTCGCATGCGTAAGAATGTGTTCACATGCTTTGTTAATAAACTAAGCGAAAGTGATGTTTACTTTCAACAAAGGTCGGATGCCACCGGAAGACTAGGTGCATCCACCCTCCAAAAATGCACTGCAGCAATTCAAATGTTAGCATACGGTACATCTGCCGATGCAGTTGACGAGTATCTTAAAATTGCGTTAAGTACTGCAAGAGAAGGTCTTGCTCACTTTGTTGAAGGGGTCGTAGCTCAATTTGGACCAGAGTACTTGAGGAGAGCGAGTACTATGGATACTGAACAACTCCTCCGTGAAAGTTATGTTCGTGGATTTCCTGGTATGATGGGCAACATTGATTGCATGCATTGGGAGTGGAAAAATTTTCCGCGTGCATGGAAAGGAATGTATCAAGGTAGAAGTAAAACAACAACGGTGATCTTGGAGGCTGTTGCTTCGCAAGACTTGTGGATATGGCATGCTTTTTTTGGCACCCCAGGTTCTTGTAATGATATAAATGTCCTCCAACGGTCGCCGGTGTTCTCTGATATATGTGAGGGAAAAGCTCCAGAGGTTACCTTTAATGTCAACGGAAATACATACAATATGGGTTATTATCTTACAGACGGTATCTATCCGAAATGGGCAACATTTATCCCAGCAATCAAACATCCACAAACTGGTAAGCACAAATTATTTACCAAGAAGCAAGAGAGTTATCGAAAGGACGTTGAACGTGCCTTTGGAGTGTTACAAGCTCGATTTGCAATAATACGTCAACCAAGTCTAGCATGGTCGACCGAAATTTTATGGAAAATCGTAATGGCTTGTATTATCATGCACAATATGATTGTTGAAGATGAGCGAGATGGACATTTGCATTATGATGCAATTGAATTTATCAATGATCAACCGCAAAATTTAGCTGGATCACCAACTGGTAACAACAACCAACCATTTACCGTGAGAAGTGGACGATTGGATAGGCTCAATCTAAATGTTTATATGGAAAATAGAAATAATGTTCGTGATAGGGAGACCCATATTGCACTAAAAAATGACTTGGTTGAGCATATATGGGAACGTTTCGGCAACGAATGAAGAGATGACCAAAGTCGTTGTTAATGAACATTGTATTTTAATTTTTAATAGATGTATTTGCTATATAAGCTATGTTATTTAAATATTATATTATTTTTGTACTTTTCATTTCAAAAATTAGAAAAAAAATTGAAACAACTTACATACATAAGTGATTATTAATATTGTTCTATTTAAAATGCTCTAATTAAAAAGAAAAAAATTAACAATGTTTAACTTTTTTTTAATTAATTATGTAAGTTCAAAAATTACAAATAAATAATAGAGAGTAATACATGTTTTAAAAAATAATAAATAAAACAAGAGTGAGAAAGAATAAATGATGGGGTAGTATAAAAAAAATTAGGAGAAAGAATGGTGAGTAACCTCACCATTGTAGATAAATAAATAAGGTGACTTATACTAGTAGCTTAAGATAGTGGAAAGTGAGGTGGAAGATGATTTGGAAAAGAGATAAATAAATAAGGTGATTTGCATAGGTGTGAGTAACCTCACCAATGCTCATGCTCTAATTGATCAAGTGAACACACTTACCATAAATCATCATTGATACTCCCTCTATTTCGTAATAATCGCAACACTTTCCTTTTACGTATGTTTCATAATAATTGCAACACTCCATTTTTGGAAAGGATCCACTATTATTTAATAATTTCTCTCTCCCACTAATCCCATTTTCACAAATAGTTTATCAATTCTTTTTCCTACCAACCCCATTTACACTACTTTTTTTATTTATTTATTTATTATTATTATTTCTCTTTCTTATTAATCATACTTTATATTATAAAAAATCCTCTTTTGGTCCCATACCCTATAATTTTCCTAAAACTTTGCGCACACCTAGTGTTGCAATTATTACGAAATAAAGGGAGTAGTATTTCACCACATTAATTCTTTTCTTCATTACAATAATTGTGTTGAGGGTTTGGGTTAGCATTGGAGCTTGAATATCAACGCTGAAAGTGAAGTCAATTATTTTCCTACCATACCTAAAACATTTAATTTGTCAATATATGCATCTCTGAGGATTGAAGACATTTATTTAATACTTATTCCAGTTTTTTTAGCTATTATGTTTCTTTTATCATATTTAATTTGTCAATGTATAAGTTCAGTGATTCTATTTATATCAAGATATAAAATTATGAAAAGTTGATATTATATACCTAGTATAATATATTAAAAAAAAAACTCTAACAATATCTCACATAAACATATTTTATCAATTCATCATAACTATAAATCATTTAGTATATAGTAAAGTGAAGTTTGTTGATAATATTGATGAAGAGGTAACTGTGTCAGCTATACAAGAATACAACAATTATATTTTTAGATGTGGTATATATTTAGAAATGGAACAATAAACCGCTCTGATGCTTAAGTTAGCAAATTAGAAAACATGAGTAAAAAGGGTGGTTTAAGAGTGTTTAGGACTTTAGGTTAAGAAAATCATACCTTAGAAGTAAAATATGCTTGGGTATTTATGTAAGTCCACGTAGCTATATATCTTGTCAAGTGGGTGATAGGTGTCCACGTGACCGGCGTTATAGGCCGATATAGATAGTTGGCTGATACTTCATATTGAAGATGATCCAAATCTAAAGAACCCAACTTGATATATCTAATCTATATCGATGTAGGTATCATCTCGTATATCAATAAGTTAGTACTCCGTATTCATTGTGGAGTATTATTTTCATTTAAATGTGGTACGGTGGTACCACATACTTATAAGATTTGTATACAAAGTCGGCAAGACGGTAACCACCTTGTTAGAATGTCAATCTAACACGTATATTTTTGTCCCCTTAAATCCTAGCTAGTGACTTAATGAAGTACCAACAGCTAGCATCACCAAGAATGTTGTCACTTTTATTATACAATACAATCATCAAGATAGAGACTAAACATCATATCAAAACCAATAAAATTTTAACTTTGTTTTAGTATCAATGTGAAAATAAAACAAAATACTTTCACACGAGTTGATAGATTTCAGAATCTATTGTTGGGAGGTTGGTAGTAGTTCATACAACCGTTCTTAACACGAGTAGGATGTCACTTTAAAATGGATCCGATCCGTCCATTTAGTACTTGAGAATCTTTAGCTAAATTCCAAAAAAACAATATTGTCTTAAAAACTCCGAGCCTTTTACGTAGAATTTAGATGTAGCAAACATAAACAATTGTTTGTAAACGACAAGTACAAAGAATAAAATATTAAATGGCTCTCCTAATGATTTAACGAGAAAAACTCCTAATATATTAAATACAAGAAATATTTGCAACTATTGAATTGAGTTTTACTTCGTATTTAGTTAGACTTGAACCGTGAAATCAATAGACCTTATTTTAAAAGCCTGGAAGATATCTTGAGATTGATGGCTATATGGAGTAGTGGAAAGAGTTGAACATGGCACAATGAGAAATAGAGCTGGGGTGGTTAGTGCCATAGCACTTGAATTAATTTACTCTTAGCTTGACGATTTTTTCTTACTACGTAAAAAGAATTGCTATTTATTTGAACATTGAATTTTGTACGTAGTAGTATAGTAGCTTAGTTGGGTTGTAGCATGAGTGCATGACCTAGTTTTGACTATTCGCCAATGGACAACGGCAACGGTCAACAGTTATTTCAAATCGTTGACTTCTTGTCTAAGGTTTCTAATACTTGTACCAAGTAGTACACTGTGGTCTATTTTGGGGTTTTATTTTTTCAATTGAAATATAATCCCTCCATTTGTAAATACTTGCTTCATTTTTACATAGGTGGAGTTTTAGGAGAGAAATTGGAGAAAGAAATAAAATATGTAGTAGTGGGGTAGGTGGAAGAATAGAAAATTATAAAAAGCAAAAGTAGTTGAGAGAATTGAAGGAGAAAGAATATGAAATTAATAAAATATGATTTATGTTGGGTCCACTAGTAGAGAGAAATGAATTAAAATATTGAAAAAGTTTTCCAAATAAGGAAATAGAGCAAATATTTAAAATCGGAGGGAGTATTACTTTTAGCTATCCATACTTTTTATTTTAATTTTTGAGATTCATATAATTAATAAATCTAATAAGTGGATGGGTAAAAAGGTGTTTGCCTTCTCTCTACAAAATCCTGAAGAAATTCTCTTTATATTTCAACTCAAGTATTCAACCTCCCTTTGGACACTTAGAGACTTAGAGTATATGAGGAAATTAAACCAATGCACGAGCGTGGTGCCCAGAGAGTAATAGGGCACACTAAGGCCCTGTTCAGTTCACCTTATATTTGCTGAATTGAAATTATTTTTTTTGAACTTAAATTATTTTTAATGAATTGAAATTAAGGCCCTATTTCCTTCTCCTTAAAAAAACAATATTCAGTAAAAATAATTCTAGTTCAGTAAAAATAATTTTAGTACAGCAAAAATAATTTAAATTTAGTAAAAATAATTTCAGTTTAGTAAAAATCAGTAAACTTAAAGAAGAAATATAATAGAAAATCAGTAAATATAATTTCAGTTCAGCAAAAATAATTTTAGTTCAATTAAATAAATTACAGTTCAGTAAAAATAATTTAAGTTGAGCAAAAATAACATTAGTTCAGTAAAATAATTTCAATTCAACAAAAATAAGGTGAAGTGAATGGGGCCTAATATTACTGAATTGAAATTATTTTTAATGATTCTTTATTATATTTCTTCTTTAAAGTCACTGATTTTTACTGAACTGAAATTATTTTTACTGATCTGAACTTAATTTTACTGAACTGAAATTACTTTTACTGAACTGAAATTATTTTTGCGGGACTGAAATTATTTTTACTAAATATTTTTTTTTAACGTGAAGTGAATAGGGCCTAACAAATTTTGCATATTATGGTAAACAATAGGCCAATAAACCTATTTATCTAATCTTGTTTAAATACTTGAATAAGACCATTGATGTTTCTACTATGGTCATCCTTAAAATGAACATGACTATTCTTAAATTTTATTGGTTGATTTTTTTAAAAATGTTTGGTCAAACCTCTTTTTTATTTTTTTCTATTTTTAATTCTTTTTCTTTTTTTCAAAAATAATTTCTGATTTTTCGAAACTCTTATTTTTATTTTCATAATTATTTTATTATAATCACTTTTTAATAAAGTAGAAAAATAAGATTAAATTAAAAAAATTAAAATCAAAATATTGTTCTTCATCCATGGATGAAATTAATCACCAATTCATGATCATTTTCCCTTAAATTCACTCACACATCGACAGAGAATGAACATATGCCCCGATCACACACCATCAGCGATCTTTTTTTTTTTTTTTTTTTCCGAAAATCGGGGTTTGTACGTATTTGAATTGTTTCTTATCCTAGAATAATACATTTTAATTGGGCAATCTCAATCAAGGGATGCGAAATCGGTAATTATATGTAATCGAAAATTTTAAATTTTCATGTTTTCGATAATTTGGTTTGTAAGGCAAACATTGGAAGAAACCGTAAAATATTTTCTTCAAAACCCTGTTTGATAAAAAAAAAAAAAAAAAAAAAAAAAAAAAAAAAAAAAAAAAACGAATATGAAATTTTAAATCTTGTTTTTGTATATGTATTTACCAATATGATAATAGGAAATTACCTATAACAAATAATTTTATTGTTTATTCGTCTATGACCATAAAGAGTTTTGTAATCCTATTGAATACTATGATTAGGAATTTGTGATTATATTTATGTTATCTTCAAACAATTTTCATTAGATTATCAATGCAAATTCAATTTAACTATTAATAATTAATCTGAATTACAATGAAGACTTTAACATGTTTATTATCAAAAGAAGGTTATGACCGTATACATTATATGTCATTACATTATAAAATGATATATGCCAAGCTTATGTCATGAAGTATTTATTTAGAAATATAATTCAACTAATTAACTATCAACGAACGACGACCTATGAATTATTCATTTAATCTGACCACTAGCGTGATTTTTGAGAATAAAAAAATAATAATACTATAACG